ACTCTTTCCATGGAAACAGCTGCCGTCTTTGCTTAAATCAACAAAGCTCAATTTAAATTAAAGAACGTCATTATGTTGATATGCACACCAAATTTCAAGATGACAGGTCATACTGTTTAAGAGCTACTCTTTCCTGAAATATATTAGTGCCAAAATTGATGTCCTGAGAAAATGGGCTTTAAAGTTGAAGACATAAATCTACATTGTTCTTTGATAGATTGGGTTAACAAAGTTTTGGTCATATCTATTTACATGTAATTTAAAGTTTCTAAAAAGCATTTTCTGTCTTCTACTATCTTTTGAAAGGTTGTATATAACTTATAGCCTGTGGGATAGATATTTCAATGTTTGTTACATTCTCTGGACTTCCTGGACTTTCAGTAGCATCAGCTTTTTCCACTCTTGCCTCTTTATATTTTTTTGACCACCTTTTTCATGCAAGTCTCTATTCTCACTGGTTGATGCAAATGCTTTTTCAGCTTGGTTAAATGCACCTGAAGCATAGTGCTTCCTTGTTTCTTCAATTTGCTTTAAAAAGCTTTTTGATTTCTGCCATCATTGGAATCCACACTTCCCGCTTACTTTTCTTGAGGGTGACTTAATTCTTCTGCAATTTTGTCTTCTAACAGCGTCAACTGATTTTCTGCCAGTGCCTCAATTCCTGCTGAAGCCCAGAGTGCTATTTGTGCAACAGCACCAGAGTTGAAAATGCAAACAGCTTCTGATACTGCAAGAGTTAATCTGCAAAGACCTCAAAAGTTTTTTTTGGGCACCGCATCCATACTGTGCTATTAAAATTTTCATTTTGATTTTTGGTAAAACCAAAATTTTTGGTAGGCATTTATTCAGCAAATCAGAGTCACTAAGCCTCTTGAATGTTGGCTCTTAAGCATTAGAAAAGGATGAAGGCAGCCTCTGAGATTCCTCATAAAGTGAAGTTGTCTTAGCTTTGTCAACCCAGAGCTTGCACCACGATGATGTTCCTTTTGGGCAATATCTGTGCTGTTGCATGAGAGATGCTCTTTCATCAGATGGCTTGATAGCTAACACTACTTGCCCCATCTTCTCCACATTACGGATATTAGCTCTAATTGACCTTCATACTGCAAACTGTCCTTTCCCTCCAATAGGCTTACCATCCTCTAATTCCTTTCCCTCAAATCCTTGATCAATTTTCTTAGAGCTGTCTCCATTTTCTTTTGAATATGTCCATGCATTCTTCTTTTTCCACTTCATAACGGCTGCCATTGATTATTTGACTACCCTAAATTTGCCAATGTCTCCATCTCCCACAAAGGAAGTGTATTTCAATTTTCTTGTTTGAATGGAACGTTTAAAAGCTGAACTGGCCCCAGTACCGTCCATACTGCCAGATGACCCATCATAATTTAATTGACATTTATCCTCATGTGCTTTCTTCCATATTTTATACGATTCGGAGTCTTTGCTCTCTTTTTCATGCAATTTACATTCCTGGTAGTAAAGTGATAGTACTTCATGGTCCAAGAACTCTCTCCTGTTTCTACACTTATAGCAACAACAACTCCATACTTTTATAAAAACCCCCTTTTGTGCCAAGTCCCATCAATAGCTATAGCTGTAGGGACAGCACCATCCTCATCCTCAATGGCAAGCACTGGAATCCTCTCCAATTTGATGACAGAGGAGAAATAAATTTATGACATAAATTCAATAGGAGCAGATAAATTTATGACAGAGCAGAAATTGGTTAGTGCTTCTTTATCTCATTTTATCGAAAAACAAGCCATGGCAGATCGCCTGTTGATGTCAAAACATTGCAATTTTTCCCATCTGGGCGTCTGCTCGTCACCAATTCAGTTTCTTGGTGGCAATACGAGCAAATAATTGTAATAACTTCGGCAAGGCCAGACCTTTTGCCATCTCTTACAACCAAATTAAGTTTTGACTTTGGATTGGTACACAATTGCTAATGACCGAACTATTCATAGCAGATTGCAATAAAAATAGGTCAATTATAGATTTTATGGAAAGTTCTGAATCCTTAACTTGCTGCCTTGTGGTTACTTTATCACCAAATGACGATCGTGCTTCAATTTCTTTATCCAAATCGGAATATTTTTTGTGAAGAAGTGGGTGCTTTATTTTTCTCTGAAGAATCTGCTGATGTTGTGGGCCGAGCACTATGAGCCCATTCTGTAGCAAGGGAGCACTATTCTGTAGCAAGGTAACACTTTTCTGTAGCAAGGTAACACTATTCTGTAGCAAGGTAGCACTTCCTGCTTTGGCACTTCACCATCGGACCTGTAGATCTTCAACTGCGATACATTAACTCGTTTTTTGCATAAAAGTTCAAATATGAGCGAGATAACTGATAAAGAAAACATGGCACTAAGCCTTGCGAAATTGAAAGTTGAGTTATCGAAGAGAGGACTTACAACAAAAGGCAAGAAAGACGAACTGATCACTAGGCTGCTTGCCTACAAGAAGGGCCTAGACGAAACCAGCGAACAAAGATAAAGGTTGAAAAGCGATCATGATTGAAATTACTTTGGGCTGTTGCCGAAAATTTTTCACTTTTTTTAAATCAATCTTGATTCCAGTGGACAAAGATACATTTATTGAGTTCAAGAGTGAATATAAAAGCCTTTGTGTCATTGTGATAATTACATTGGCGATCACTGCTGAATCAAAGGCTTAACAGTGAGTGCATCTCTGACGGGATTAGGAACCATTCCTAGATTTAAGGTAAGTATACAATTGATTTTATCTAAATGTAAAATAGCTAAAGCGCTTTGGGTGGGGAGAGATAAAAACGTAATTTATCTGAATCCTGATACAAAATTTAGCGATCATTTGCGAGGTGTTTTTTTGCGATCATTTGTTTGGTATCCTGTCTGCTGATTGGCTTAGAACATTGTAGCGAACAGAGCTCTCAGCAAATCAAAGATTTGAGCGCTATGCAAATATGCTTTCAATTCAGGATACCCTGACATAGTTCTTCTCTACAAGGCTGTCATCTGACAAATTGATCTACATTTGCAATCCTTCTGCACAGCCAACATCACCTTCACTAGTCCAAAGCTCCTCTCTCTTCTTTCAGCATATTTAGTGGAGCAGCTAATGACAAAATTTAGCCAAATCGTTCACTTTGTGATACAAGCATGAATTTTGGTGCAAACAAAGTTCACACTATTTGCTACACTTCTAGTCGCTGAGCCAAATGATTTTTTTATTTTAATGCCATTTTCTGGTGACGTCATTTTCAACATGGCTGCCAGCATATAATTAATCGTAGTTTCGAATATAGTAAAGTTATGAAAGTTACTTTCACTTTATTGTGTATCACATTTGAATCCATATATGTATAAATGCTGATTTGTAAACTGTTCTGAAATTAGTTTATTAACAGATATCACATATTTTGTAATGACGTCATCATGTTTTATTGCAGAATTGCCTTAAAATTTATGAAAATTTTAAGACAACTTTAACCTTATCCTGTAAATATTCTGTATTATTACTTTGACGAGTTATAAACAATGCCAAATTCCATGCAGTTTTTCTCAAACAATTTTCCAATAACTTTTATTTTATAATACTACTTACATTTTCACTGGTTTTGGCATATACAACTACAAAGTCCAGTGCAAGATAACCCGGAATGAAAACATCTGCACCTCCCAGTACATGCTCTCTTACAGCCACATTAAGTCAGTTATTCACAGCAAACTATGGGTGGAAGATCAGACCAGTGGATTTTCCAACTGCCATTCACCTCAAACCATCCCCAGTTAACAGGACTTGGTGCATGGAGCACTGGATTCATGGTTTGACCCCATATAATTCCGCCTTGACTTGTTTCAGGGAGGCTTGGATAGGTGGAATGGACAGATACGATCTCTGTTATCTAGCAAACAGGTCAAGTCTGGCTTCATTAACTGTAGTTGATGTACTTGAATGGTCGTACATGGTTACAACAAACCTCTCAAGAGTGCTAAGATCCCTCTCGTCTAAATCAAAAGGACTCTGGCTCAGCTTGGTGAAGACAGCAGAAGCGTCCTCACTAACCTCCCAGGTTTGCCAAGCAGATCTTTTCCCTTTTCCACGAAAAGCAGAGACTACGTCACAGCAGGTAGACGCATGAAAAAATGGCATACCACTAGCCCGAGCACCACCGTTGACTTCCACAAGCTGGTGAATTTGAATCCAGCAGGTCTTTACTCCCTGACCAAATGCAACCCAGAGGTGATCAAGTCCCATTCCCTTTAAGAGTGTCATGACAGAAATCGCCAGAACAACAACATCAGTGTCATTGGCTTTTATCATAAGTGACTTGCTCCAAATATGAGTGTCTGCCTCCTCATGGTCGCAAGGTGCGATGTCACTTAAAGACATTGCCTGATTGGCTAGTGCGGCTTCACCCATTGTTACAACAACAGCGTTTGCTCTGCTGGTTTCGGAAATTTTCTTTGCCAGAAAGTGAAATAGCTCTGTCTTATTTGTGTTTTCCAGCTCATTGGTGTTTTGCTATTCGCAGCAACCCGCCTTCTAATTCCACTACCTCTACGGTTTCTTGTTTCTTGCTTCAAGCTCGGCTCTCTTTATACATCAAAAACTAGATCGGTCCTTCTATATTTAGAAGAGTAGCGGATTTTGGGGTGGCAGGCTGCTCTAGGCCAATTGGGTGTGTAAGGCGACCCATCCCTCCGCTAGCCTGGGGGTGTCAGCTTGGGCAAGTGACAACAACCCCTAAGCCTCCCTGCCAGGGTTACGGTGAAGTGTATGGGCAGCAGCATACATGGATGAGGAGAAGAAGCTCTTTGGTTAGTCAACCCGGCAGTCATCAAGTGGAGGCGAGCGTTAACATACAAATGACTTGGCAAAGCAACTGCGCCTGGGGAAGGTAACGGGTATGCCACTTCAGGTATTCTCCCCATGAAACACAAGAATGGAATTACATCACAAGATACAAGAGATGGCATCCAAAGGTAAACCTCAGGGCTCGAGGATGTTCATTAATGTTACCCGAGAAGAAGCCAATACGTGCCTCATGCCGCACAACTGTGCACTATGAGGCGGTTACCTTAAAGCCTCACAGACGGGTAGTTGCTGATGTTGCTGGTGGCGGAAGAGCACACGCTGACTTTATCAAAACAGTCAGAAAATTTGGTACATGGAATGTTCGTTCTATGTATAAAGGCAAGCTCGAAATTGTAGTAAATGAAATGCAGCGTTATGCACTGGATCTGGTTGGAATTTCGGAACTTCGATGGAAAGAACGCGGACATATGGCACTACAAGACGACTATAAGATTTACTTCTCTGGAAACCATACTGCAAAACGGAACGGAGTGGCCATCATCTGCAGGAAAAAAATGGTATCATCAGTTCTTGGGTACAACCCCATCAGCGATCGTATCATGACACTTGGAATCAGCGCGAAACCGATGATGAATTCATACAAGTTTATGCTCCGACTAGCGACGCAGACAAGGCGGTTCTGGATGACTTTTATGAACAACTGCAGGAATGCTACAAGAAAGTTCCTAGCAAAGATATACCAATAATAATGGGAGATCTGAACGCGAAAGTTGGAACAAATTCACAGAACGGTGCAATTGGACCACATGCTCTTGGCACTCAAAATGAAAATGGTACACGTCTCAGTGAGTTTTGTGTAGCCAACGGTTTGGCTATTGCCAACACGATGTTTACTCAACACGCACGTAAACTTTACACGTGGATATCATCAGATGGACGCACTCGCAACCAAATCGACTACATCATCATACCGAGAAGATGGATGTCCAGCTACAAATCGTGTAAAACTCTGCCTGGTGCTGACTGTGGAACTGACCACCAGCTTCTCATGGCAAAGTTCAAAACAAAGCTCAAAACATGTAAGAGAAAACCAACCACTCTCCGTTATGATCTCTCCAGTCTAACAGATGTCTACACAGTTTTGGTCAGTAATCGATTTGATGTGCTCTTTGAACTGGACGAGGAACTCGGAAGCAGTTATGAAATATGGGAAAAAACGAAAGACGCAATTTTATGCTCAGCAAAGAAAACTCTCAGGAAACCGAACACGAAGAAAATCAACAAAATGCTTTCATCTGCAACCATTGAACTAGTTGTTAAACGTTGTGAACTGAAAAGTCAAGACCACTCGACTAATCATAGACGCATCAATGACCTCACAAGAGATATTCGCAGATCTACCCGACAGGATAAGAACAACTACCTCAATGAGAAATGCAAGGAGATAGAAACCAACAGACAGTGCCACAACACGCGCACTATGCACAAGCTCATCAAGGAAATCACTACCAAACCTGCGACGCGTCTATCTGTCATAAAAGATGTCAATGGCAACGTCCTCAATGAATCTTCTCAAATAAAAGCAAGATCGAAAGAATATTGCGAAAGCCTGTACGAAAAAGATGACTGGATTAGCAATGTGCCACCAATATCGAGTACATACATAGATGAACCAGAAATTTTGCTATCAGAGGTTTCTGCAGCTTTGAAAAAAATGAAGAAAAATAAGAGTCCAGGCATAGATGACATACCGGCAGAATTGCTGAAAGCAACTGGTGTAAGTGGAGAGAAGATCTTTCTCAAATTGTGCAATCGGATTTGGAGCACCAAAGAATGGCCAGATGACTGGATCACTGCTGATTACCTTACCGAAAAAAGGTGACACAAGGGAATGCAAAAACAATCATACCATCTCCTTGATTTCACACGCGAGCAAAATTCTTCTTTATATAATTGCAGCACGTTTGGAAAAACACCTCAATTGTGAACTCCCACCAACACAGGCAGGTTTCAGAAAAAGTCGTGGTACACGTGACCAAATCCCCAACATGCGCTGGATTATCGAAAAGGCAATGGAAAAGAACCGACATATTTTCATGGTCTTCATTGACTACAGTAAGGCCTTCGATTGCGTGGATCACAACATGCTCTGGAACATTTTAGAGAAGATGGGATTTCCATTACATATCATACATCTTATCAAGAATTTATATTCATAAGAAGGTGCAGCTGTTAAAACTGACGACGACATCACAGACTTTTTCAAACTAGGTAAAGGCGTACGACAAGGTTGTATTCTTTCACCGCTGCTTTTCAACATCTTCGGCGAATACATTGTGAGACAGGTCGCACAAGAAGAGGACTGTGGTTTCGCTGTTGGCAGTAACCGAATACACAAACTGAGATTCGCAGACGATACCACACTTTTAGAAACTGCTATCGGCCTCATGCAAAGACTAGTGGACAAGATCAAGGATGAAAGCGAAAAAGTGGGACTATATTTCAACAAAGACAAGACCAAGCTGATGGCGATCGGTGACCAGACACAAGACAGCGTGACTGTGGATGGTACAGAAATCTAACGAGTTCAAGACTTCAGCTTTCTTGGATCGTACATAACAGCAGAGGGAGAGTCTAGGAAAGAAATCGACCACAGAATTGGAATTGGTCACTCGGCTGTTGGAAAGCTGCAGGCAATATGGCGAGATAGCAGCATAACCTGCAACACGAAACTCCAAATATTGCGATCACTCGTGTTTTCAATCACCAACTACGGCTGGGAAACATGGACATTACGACAACGCGAAAGGAACAGGGTCGATGCTTCCGAAATGTGGGCTCACAGACGCTTGTTTGGAATATCATGGAGCGACCGTGTTACAAACATTGAGGTATTGGTGAGAGTGGAGCCCTCGAAAATCCTGCTGAGAAATATTCAAAAAGCACAACTACAGTACTTCAGCCACATAGCACGCCAAGACTCTTCCTCGCTGGAAAAAACCGTAATACTGGGTTTTGTTGAGGGCCAAAGAAGTAGAGGTAGACCGAAACACCGATGGACAGATAACATCAAGGCCCTGGCTGGTGCATCTCTCCGGGAGTGTATCGAACAGGTGCAAGACAGAAGATTGTGGTGTGGTATCATTCAGAGGTGCACAAGCAGCCCGCCGGCGGCTGAATGAACAATGATGATGATGAGCGGATAATTTTTGGCAGGATGTCTTCTTTGGCATATTCCTTAAAGGTCTTTGATCTCTCTGGAGCAGATGCATTCACTAAAGCAGAACCGTCTACAATGATAGTGTCTGCACTTGGTTCTGTATCTGGCATGTTAACTTCCTCTTTGAAGATTTCAACAAGTTGCGACTTTTGGCTGGAATACAGACTTCCAGATTCACTCAAAGATGCAGGGGTGGACTGGTTCTCAAACTGAAAAAACTCACCAAGATCGCACTCTCTGATCTGACAAGATATGAACAGGCGAGAGAACAACTGGCAATCCTCTTTGATCGTCTTTTCTTTGGATATGCGAGGTACCTGCTCTTGAGCGAAGAAATCCATCCTGTTCTTTTTGATAGGGTCGTAGAAGCACGTTTGATCTTCTTCCTTTAGTCTTTCGATAAATGCTGAACACTGTTCTTTTCCTCGTTCATGTTGTTTAAATACCAAATCTGCTTTGTTTGGATCAGCAATATCTTTAGTAGTAAGAATCATGTGATCGGACGAATATTCTTCAAATGGATTGCCCAATTCTTCAATTACTTCAAACAGTTTTCCTACTCTTTGTAAGAAGAGCTTTTGACTACTTTGTGAATCATCGTGATGTTGGCTATTTCGGTTTGATCCCTTTGATCTGATTTGGATTCGTAGTCAGCAACAAGACGGCTCACCTCTGGTCCTGCTACCATCCATCTTCTAAGAGCCGATTCATCCTCTGTGAGGCAATAGCACCACCATCATCTTATCAAAGAAATTTGAGAAGTTATAAATCCTTTTTTACGATTTTCAATTTAGTTATCTGTTAGCGGACTACCTCACTGTCTTCGCTGCTAAAATCTATGAAGTGATTACAAAAAAAATTATCGACCCTCCCAAAAAAGATTAACTGCATAGGTAGTATATGGTATAGAGTAATTGAAATCATGTATACAGATCCTTAAATACCTTTGATAACAGCATTGTTCTGTTCGTGCGCTTGATCAATTGCTAGGCCAGAGAATGCTCTTTCAGATTTGTGCACCACGAAATTCCCTTCAGTCATCATGTCTCTGAAATGGATTGTAAGCCAGCGTGCATAGTTAACACTCCTTCTCGGAATGACCGAATTAGCGTCAAAGTAGCTAATTCCATGGACATAACAAGATTCCAATAGAAAAACTGCGGGCTTTCCTTCTTGCGCATTTCGCACCATCTTTCAAAGGCTAGGTGTAGGTGACCCTCACTTGCATCATTGATGTAGTTGTTGTATGGTTTCCTTTTTCAGTTTGTATAGCGCAGCCACTGTAACCTGGTGTGCTTGTCTTGTTCGAGTAACATTGGAAGCTGATAAAAATGACAGAGCAGTTTCTGATGAAGCAACCTCTGCCTCTGCTATGGCAGCCGTCCAACCGCTGCCTTGCAGCATACTTCCAACTGACCCTAAGCGCTCCATTTCAACATGTGGCCCACCAAATATAATGACAAACTTATTCTCTCCATATTCAGGCCATTGCCCTTGAATTTGCTTAGCTAAAGCATAGAGTGGCTGATCAGCTGCTACAACTGGAATCTGACTTGGGTTTAAGTAGGTTACAATATCCAGAATGTTATCCATGACATGCTTTATTATGGCTACAGAATGAGCCTCATCTCTAAGGAGGGGAAGCAATGAAGAAATTGCAACTTTAAACGGATTTGCTCTTTTCTGTGAGGCATGATGTGCAGACCATGTAACTTTAACGGCGTTATCTACTTCTTCTGTAACATTGACTTTTTCTTACCAGACAAATTCTTGTGTGGTAATTGATTAAACATTGGGCATTAAAAAGCTGGTACAGACCGGCGGTTTTGGATCTTCCTTCAGAAAGGCAGGTTTAATGTTAATATATGATTCTGGCAGCTGTGGAACTTTCTTGGTCTTCCCTTCTCCTTCTTCAAGTGGCTTATGAGTCTCCCAAACGTTATTTATGCAGGGGTGTTGGAATACCGAAATACTTGTGCCATAAAATGAAGACTGAGCAGTCGTGGAAGTAGGATTATGATCAATGTTATCCATAGCTGAAACAGTAAAAATACTCCATACTTCTTAAGTTCCGGTGGGCAAACTATCCCCTCTTCAACGTATTTATTGACAACAGTTTCTCCGAGTTGAGATGATATGTCTAACACTCGGTCATATGATATGCTCAGTCCATTTTCATACAGCATGTCTATTTTTTTTTTCCTAGTTTTTGCAAAAACGGACAGTCCAAGGTAAACAGCAAATGGGGTTTTACGAGATTTTGAATGCCGGTGGGATTTGGCCCCTGCTTTGTACTTCCCAAAGCAGTTAAACTGTAAAAGTTGTGCTAAGGCCAGATCTGACTTTGATGCTCTATTGTGTAGCTGCGACTTAATATTGGCTCCATGCTCAATCATACAGACAAATTCTAGAAAAGAACGAGGAACAGATTCTTCAATTGGTTCACTCCCAATCGTATTTTCAAAGTTCCATTGGTGCCATAGCATATCTTTGCGTAATATGGAAGCGGATTTTGCAAGGTGTGAACAGCATCAAATGTTTTATTTGCCTGCTCCATAAAAGTAGCTATATCTCCGTGAAAAGCTAACAACACATCTCGACCCTTGTAATAGGCCTCTAGCTCCGGTAAGTGCAGTAACAACTGTTCTTTCAATCTCGTTGAGTTCACTGATGACTTATCCATCCCTATTTGTTGTTTGACACGTTGCTTGTAGGGTAAGACCAAATCAGCAAGGCGAAATGTGTGAGGGCCTTCCCCAGAATTACATGATTCGATTATGTATGTGAAAAGCTCAGAAAAGGCAACCGCTAAATTTTGATTTTCTGAATCCTCATCATGGTTCAAATGATCGTTTTGTGAAGCAAGGTGGGATCGTACCCTATTATATAAAGACGCAAGGCATTTTGGGTGGTACATTAGATCCTGAGCAACAGCATCACCTGCACTAAGAAGCGCAAGAAGCTTTCCATCGTTTAGTATTCTACTACATTGGTTTAATCTGTCATTCAACTTCATCGTGGATGCCTTTCTAAGAGCACCTTCCTTTTCCTCTTCGTCACGCAAAAAGCATACGTCTTTGGAAATAGTTTTTCTTTGTTTCTTCGATCTTCTTTCGCCAACCAAGCCAGACGATTCACCGACATTCCTTTTTCTTGCCCTTTCAAGCTTAGTGTTGCGAAATAAGGTGTTACATGACTTTCATGACGAGATGTGCTGCACGACTGGTGATACATTGCATTGTTATCTCATAAGGTTTCTTCAATACCATTGCCTTCGTCAAGTCTTTCACGATCTTATGCGATTGGCAAGCTATTAATTGCCAAAACAAAGGCACATTGGTCGCAATATTATGGTAGCCATTCTTTTTCCCTTGTGGCCGGATTTGAAGCAGGTGATTTCTTTTTGTCTTTCTGACATAGACAGCATTTCGCCCAGTTTGTTTTCCATTTCTTGTCTTCCATACTCTCAACGACCAGCTGCAACTATCTATATGTGTCCAATCAATAACAGGAAATAAAATTTTAACATTTTTGTAAGAAGGAGACTGCATTTATCGACTGGTTTTGATTGAGTACTTTTAATTGATTGTTTTCACCAAATAATTAAATGTTCACATTTTTACGAGATAAAGGGCCTCCAGAGCAGGGAGGGGGGAAGGCCCCTCATTTTTTTTGGAGTGCGTACCTTTTCAAACTTTTTTGAAATCGTTCATACCAAGTGGGCCTAAAACAATGGCAGAACTTTATACATCAAACATTGCTTCTCCTCAACTTTTCGAGACATGTTAATGGTCATGCATGTACAAATAAATAGCGGTCCATGCTAAGTTTCATGTTTGTATCACCGAGTGAACGATTCTGCCCTTAGCTTCTTCACTAATTCACTATTATATCTTTCTTCTCTGGTGATAAACCTTGAGGCAATTTAACCCTATAATGCCTGGAGACACCAACGCTATTAAAATTGTGCACAATTTTAGCAAATCACTCTTATGACTCTAAATTACAAAAATTGGAGTCTTTGATAAAGAATTATGCATAATTTGTGAGGAAAATTTTCGTCTATTTCAATGGACATGGCATTTAGAGAGAAATTCACTGTTTTTGTCATAAATATTATTCTCCAACGAAACGGAAATTTACGATGTTAAATTCATTAGAAACAAGTAACTTTCATTTTCTAATTTATGTAGCTTTATAAAAAACTTTATATGTGTGTCGTCTACTATATGCAGTTTCAGCATTGAACTGAGCATATGCTATCTGTAGCATATGCTATCTATCTGTACCATGATGTTGTCTGTAGCATATGCTATTGGACATGCACAGAAAAACTTGGCATTTTGAGCAGTAAAATTTGGTTTTTTTCTTGCAGTCCTTATTTTTGCATCTTTGTGAGTTTGGCACACATCGACCAAAACTGGCCAGTGGTCAAACTTGTTATGCTTGATATAGACTGGCACATCATTAGCTTGCAATGAACGATAAGCTGGTGACTGTGGGGTTGCTTGGACGTTTCACGTAGATTGGTCACTGTCTTTGATTAGTGGGAAACAAATTTTTCCCACAAACTTTACCAAAGGCCCATAACCACCCATTTGTTGGAACACAAGCCAAGCATTTCAAGAAGCCAGGCTAAATGAATTGAATGCCATCCCGTGGTACCATTTATGTGACCTGCAGCAGGTACGGTACAGTGACAATAACATATCAGCCTTATCCACACCACTGTTCTATTGTACGGTTGTACTATTGTACTTCAGAAATGAATCTATTGTACATTTCTACTGAAAATGGTCGCACAACATCTATTTTCTTCTTTGCTGCACAATCATACTGCTTGCATGTACCAAGAGGCTCTTTTTCAGAATAGGAGGAGACTTTTGTTATCAAACCATTCGGTTACAACAACTGACTCAGTCTCATCTACGAATTCTTCAGCAAACCCACGCCCTATCTTTTTCATCTCTTTCTCTGTAGGTAGCGGACATTTCCTGGCATGCTTGGTATTCAAAGTTGCAACAGCCCATATTTTTCTCTCCTGCTTCAGGTATTTCAGCAGGCAAAATAATTCAGCAGGCTGGTGTGGCAAAATAATTATCAAAAAACACCTCGTGTGAGACAAACCAGTTGTGAGACAGAGTACCACATAATCACTTTCTCCACATTCTGTTGGTGGCTCACAATCTTTAGGGGCACCTTTGGATCCAACACCTCCTTCAACTTCAAAATCATACACATAGCCAGAGATTCCAGCATGGGCCCAAAGCTTGTACCCCAATTTTTTGGGCAAATATCTTTTCAAATTATGATGACATTTGAAGGGTACAACTTGTTCATCAATTGCCACGTGTGTTTCTGGCAGAAGATTTTGTTGAAAAACCTTGGGAATATCAATGGCTGAATCTTGTGGCACGTGTTAAACAATGAGCTATCTTTGTCGGGCAGTTTGTTGTTTTCGTTGAAATGCAAAACAGAAATTAGTTCTTTGAATCAGTTTCTTGTCATTCCCTCAGCAATAACCTCACTTCGTGTGTTTGATGACCAGTACATGCAGCAATTTGGTAACTTTACAATCCCCATTTGTAGTACTATTCCAATGACAACCTTTATCTCGTGTTTCTCAACATCTTTGACTGTTCTTGTGCTGAAATTGGTCTTGAAAATGTTTGATTCTCTCCGTTCTTCCACTGAACTTTATTACTGTTTGCCTGCACCTTGTCTCTTTATGCTGGCACTCCTTTTTAGGCATCTACCAAACTTTCTTCTAGAATTTCTTCTTCATCTCCACTTTCTGTGTCTTCACCTGAATCATTGTCAAAATCGGTGGCCCCGCCCGTGCAGCGATGGAGATGTACGAGGAAACTGCCAAGGGCAAGAAAAGACGAAGGGGGCGGGCGGCCCGCGCACAACATCGCCCAGACCGTCTCGAAAGACATGGCGCAGAAAAACTGCACAGCGAAGGACGCCCAGTACCGGGCACTCTGGAGGCAGGCCAAAAAAAGAAGAGCCACGAAGATCCAGCCGTAGCAGAAAGGGCCAAAGGCAGAAAGATCCCGACTTCATGTACTAACTCTCTTTTCTTCTCTCTTCTTTTTCGGAAGTTCTATTTTTATTTTTGTAAAAATCACAACTTGTCACCGAACCCAATGAATGGATGAATTGTCGAAATCTGGATCTTCATCACTGTCTGAAATATAGTAGGATAGAACAAGTAAAGAAATAAAATTATATGTTGAGTATTTTATCAGAAATAGAAAACAAAAGGAAATCAACACTATTACGGTTCTTTTACATGATTTTCCTTCTCACCAGTCAAAACATGTCCATGGCTAGGCCGATTCACTCTGAAAAAAGGCTGCCAAGACTGCAATGAATGGAGGGGCACCTTTTTGCAACATCATGACAACAACAGATTTAAGAGAAATTTCAGAGTCAAAAAGGCAACATTTCTTTTTTTCTGGATGAAATTAAAGTGTAGAGCCAAGTACATCAGCTTGTATTCGTTCTTATCATTTTCTTGACACAGATGGGACAAACCCAGCTAATAAATACTCCTACCCAATTTAAGAAAGAGCTTTGAAAAAATGCAATTCCTTCGTTAAACTTGTTTGGTGGAAATATAGATGAACGCTTGCCTAAGAAAACAACTATTACTTCATCAAAAGCAAGAGCTGCTTCCTTCCCTTCTGACGAGTCTAGTACGATAAGTTCCATAAATACTTCTGAAAATGACAATTATCTTGGTGCCCTTTTTAAGGATATCTGTCCAGTTCAAACAGTTTTGAAAAATAGAGTCTTTTATCTGGCTTAAAAATATTCTCACCAGTTAGGAAATAAATATCATAGCTAAGCCCCTATTCCAAATCAATTTAGATGTTCATGAATGAAGAATAATTTTCAGTCACTAAAACAGAAATTGATTTTGGAGTGGTAGTAAAATTGCCTAAACTTTTATAAGTGGTTTCTCCTTTTATTTATTAAAAACTGCTGACGCATCATTACGGTTGTTGGAAGCTTACCCTTTTTAATTTATCTTTCCATTCTTGTAGGAAATTTATGCATGACTTTCCTCTGGTTGCAGGGAGAAAATCTTCATGCCATGTCGGGAATGGTCTATCCTGAAAATGATATCTGTCAAAGGCCTTTATCACTTCTCCAAACTTGCTTCCTTTTAAGCGAGGTTTTCTGTATTTTCCCCATAACTGCGAATTTCGTAGATCTGCTGTATTTTCAGCAAGCCATTGTATCCGAGCCTTTGATACACTACATTTCTCTATAAATGACTCTCTATTGTTAATAAATTCTTCTAAGAGGTCTTCAACAAGCACAGGTTCCATTGGATCTTTAAATGTAAAGGCTGGTGGCTCAGGTCCAATGATCCACTGTAGGGGGGTCTGAAGACCAACTTCTTTAAGTGCATTATAGAGGAATGCTTTGTCCTCCATAGTTACTTTCCTAGAGGTTGCCCTATATTCTGGCCTCTTTGGGGGAAGAAGTGGGCCGTGAAATCCAGGAGTTCGGCAAATAAGTTTTCAACAAACCCTTTTTGTTTGCATAGATTCAATTGCTGCCATTTGACTGCAAAGCTAAGAACCGCGAGGGCAATCGCATGAAGCCTCTAAAAAACCACCTTCACCATCAACTGTAACGGCAACCAAATAGCATCTGTCCTTCATATAGACACGAAGTGCAGAATGGCTGATCAGGGGCTCAACGAGACAAAGAACCAAAATTTGGTGAACATTGTAGTATATTTATCGTCCACAGCTGTATAACACCATTAATTTGTGCCAAATTTTAAAGGGAACGCTAATCTCCCTTCTAGGTCAATAGGCCAGCACCAATTGACTGCTTTTCTAAAATTATAGGAATATAATGTGTAATAAAAGCTTTTGGAAACGTGTGTTGATTTTTGCTAGCCTTATTTTGTGTTTCTAACAGTAGAAGGTATTAATTTATATTCAAAATTTCTTATCTTTTTGTGCAATGCCAACTTTAAAATGGCTACAAAGAATTATAACACCCCACCTTTTATGATCCAAGAACCTGAATCCAGAGGTTAGGGCTCGTGTTTTCAGCATTGATATTTTGTCATACCCTTTCAGCCAACCCCAAGATTTTTGTTGCAATGAGACTATACATTATGAAAATTACAAGAAAAACTCTGTACAAGATTGAACTGTAAAAGTATTTGGCTTAAGCAAAATTGATTTGTTATCATAAATTGTATAAAACTGCCATAGTTTTTAAATTTATATATATGATTGTACTGATTGCTTGTTAAGATTTCAGTGTATATTGCTTTAAATGTTTTCTATAACTCTTTTCTTGATTTTGGTCAGATATGTGTCCTTATTGAGTTTGTTCCTATTTCAATGTTCATTAATTAGGCCAAAAATGACATGGACCCTTGAGCATGACACACTGCTCTGTAGAGAGATCCTTGTTGAGGAGCCTTATCTATTCAAAATGGGTACTCGGGAGCGTGGTCACTGTTGGGATAAGGTGGCCACTAATATAAATAAAATTGGCCAACCACATTTTATGGTAGAACAGAGAGCAGTCCAGGACCGTTTTTTGAAGTTGGAGAGGAGCTTTAAGAGAAAGATAGCAGAGGAAAAGCGTATGTGCGGAAATGTCCCCCAACCTCGTTTTGTTTCTTTTGTTTATTTTTTGAAATGTCGTTTGTTTTCTTCTGGGCTTTTTGTTTGTTGTGGAAGGTGGAAGTAGGTGTCAACACCTAGTAAGAAAAAGGAATGAACTCTCGCGTTCGAAATCGACTCTCGAAGAACCATCGCTCTTTTCGAAGAAACTCTAAGAAATCGCTCTTTTCGAAGAAACTCTAAGAAATCGCTCTTGAAACCGAAGAAACTCTCGAGGAACTCTCAAGATAAAGGTTTCCCGTACAAGGACACAAAACCAGGTGAAATCTTTCCGTTTATTCATGGAATCTTGATATTCAAAGAAATTCGGAATAAAGATTCTCTTACATTCTTGGACGCTTACATTAATTATTTGTTGCTTATTTTGTTTGTTAGTTTTGTTAGATTATAAGATTCTCGTTGTTTTTGAATAAATATACAGTCCTCTTCAATTATTAGATAAATATATCTCTCGTATTTTCTTTGAGCCCTTGTGGGCGTATCTAACACGTAGAATTAAGGGACGAGAACCCTACGTGTCTACGAAGTTCGTAAAGCGTACTGGTGGTATCAGTCCACCAGAACCCACTGAATTGGAACAAGCAATTCAAGACATAATTGAAAGGGGGACTGAGGCACAAGCTGTAGTTTTAAGGGTTAAGTGACTGAAAAGGAGAAGGAAAGTGCTGAATCTGTCAGAAAGAGATCAATGGAAAGATTGGCAAAAACCGGAGAGAGGGAGAGTCAGGAAAGAAAAAAGAAAAGAAAAAAGACTGATTGGGACAAAGACACGGAGGTCATGCATTACATGAGAGAAAAGGCTGAGAGAGATGCCCAACTAAAAAGATACGAGTTTGAATTAAGACGAAGAGAAATTGAGATTAAAGAAAAGGAAATTAAGATAAAACAAAATGGAGAGAGAGTGGGAAATTAAGCAATGGGAGCTAGAGATTAAGGAAAAAGTTATGAGGCAAAGGTAAAGAGAGACAGAAATGATGGCAATGTTTCAGCAGCAGCAAGGGCAAATGCAGCATCAGAACCAACTGCTGCTTGATGTTGTCAATAAGCTGTTGGACAAATCTTAATATGTTAACAGTCATAACAGCAAATACAAAAATGATTTAACTAAAGTCCACTTTTTACTATCAACTTTTGAATACGTTTTATAAATTGTCCAATTGTACAAAAACAGATTCCAACTTTTTCACAAAAACATTAGAGCATATATAGTTAAAATAACTGTTTACTGGTCTGTCATAGAGTGCTAAGTGCCAGCTGTATACTCATTGATTTATAGATTCTAAGTTGCAACTTGAGTGCATCATGCTCTAGGCTTTATTTTAGGCAATGGTCCTTCCCATAAAAAGAACATTCATATTTTTTATTTTAAGTAATAAAATTTTTTCCACTCCTTTTCTATTTTGTTTTTTTTAATCCCTAAGCAAAAATTGTGATCCCAATGTGATAAAGTTATACAGACTTTGTTGTTAGCCACTGAACAGTTCAAGCATCTTTATATTTATTTATTAATACCACAACAGTTGTGTATTTGTTTACATCTGTTCTTTTTAGCTATAGTTTTAGAGTTGATCATATTTAACTTTAAATGGTTTCAAATTATCTGTATTTCCTCTTCATTAACTTTGCAATGATTACATAAATATTTATCCAAAGCTTTCCTGTTTTTTCTCTGTAGTAATTTGATTTTGCTTTATTAATTGAAGAAACACTCTTTAGTGAACTCTTAATTGATTTTTGTATTAAATGCTGCTGCACATAGACATTTTACTGCAACTATTTTCAAAAATGGCACACATCCTTTCCAGTTGAGAAATGGCATTATGCCATTTCATCTTAAATTTGAATTTTTGCCATATTAATGATCCAGCTATTGATGATTAGATTATAAACAAAATTGATTTAGCTATTATTTCAAACACTGTTTATTGCTCAATGTGAGAAAATTTTATCAACAAGCTATACATAATGATTTCTTTTGGAAACGGGATCCTGGTTGACCTGCATGTTGGCCTGACAGTGGCATTTGTTTTTTTAACATACGTATAATTTACACAGGTGTAGATTATTTTTCTCTCTAAGCTTAATTTTAGGCAGCTATCATCAAGGGGGCATTTATAAACAGATGGGGCTAATAAACAGAACAGCAAACTATAATAGAGAAGGTTTGTCAAATTCTAATGCAACATGTGTAGCAATATTAAGTGTGGGTGTTACTGGGATGCCATAATAACTCTTGCAATGTGGTAGTTTTAAAAAAACTGTTTATTGTGCCTTTCTGGTTTTCAAGTCTGTGGAATCAAGTATATCGACAGGAAATACTCATTTAGTGTTGGGGGCTTGACTTCAAAAAATTTTGCAGTGCTGTTGCCATACAAGCAGGTTGAAGCATTTCTTAACAATGCACTGACAGTACTTCATAAAATTTCCCAACAGTACTTCAATCTTGAGATTTTTCTTGAAATCCACAAACTTGAAGGAGTTGATGATGTCTCCGAACACCCACTCAACAGAAATTCTGACGTGACTCATTGATTGATTTAAAGCAAGCTCGTCAGGCGTGAGAGCTGCTCTTTTTGCAAACAGGCGCTGAAGGTGGAAACAATGCGGCTATGCTGGTGAAAACAAGTGCTGCACCATCTGGGGAAAACGAGTGCTGTTCTAACTGCTCCAGTAGATTAGATAATGCAAGCAGTCTGCTGCCATGTTTTCTACCTTCAACAGGCCTGAAAAGGTTTGTAATCATAACATTTGGAACTACAACTGACTGAAACTTGAGTGCATGAACCTTTTTGTGCCCATTGTAGTCAGCTCTTTGATTCCTGGCCGGTCTACATACAGTGGCAGCGCTAGCCGCCAAAAAGTGGGGGGTTCAGACCGGGGTATTGGGCGGAGCCCCGAAAATTTTTAGGATCACGCCCTTTTTAATGAAGGAAACGCCCTTCTCCATGATTTGAAACACCCTTTTACCAATAGAAAATGACCATGTTTGCAGCAATTGAGGCTGTTAAGTTGCTTGCCTACATTAAAGAATAGCGCAGTTGTCAAAATCTTTTGATTCTCAAAATAAACAAACTCTTTACTTTTTATTCTGATAGATAGGTCATTAGGCCAGTGCTAGAGCTTTTTTTGGCAAGAAACAAGGTATAACAAAAATACAAAAAGCTCCTGATTATGAAAAAAAATTGATGGAGAAAAAACAGTTTATTAAAATTTCTTATCCTATTTGAACAATTTCTATCAGCAGTTGAATTTGTCAAAGGCACTTTGTCCCAATATTTACCATAGCGACAGTTAATTTGAGTCAAGTCTCAATAACTACTGGAAGGCTTTTCTGACACTTGTACAGATGAACTTGGTACCAGATGCAAGATTTCAAAATGTCGATTAGTTATAGCAATAGCTAGCTTAAAAACGTCTACTAATTTGCTTAGCGCAATGTTATCAGCAATGTCACGCTCACTACTTATTTGCACAAGATCTTCAAGTCTGTCAGGAGACATAGCAGCCCGTAAATAGTTATTAATTATCTTGACTTTGCTGTGAGTGCGCTCACATGATGCCACAGTAACTGGCATGGTTGCAACAATTGTAATAACCCGAAACAAGTCAGCATACAAATTGTGCAAATCATTCTTGCTAAAAATATCAAGCAGCGAGGGCAAGCATATCCAAGGTTTCCTTTTATCTTTCCTTTCCTTCACATCTTTTTGGTACTCATCATATTCGATTTTCCACTCATAGCATTGCTGTGATTGAGAAAAAAGGAGAAACTGCTGCCCAGCACGATTGCTATCAAGCTTATAAAATTTAGCTATTGCCTCAATTTTTGACACATTTGCTGGAGAGAGATTGCGTGGATGAAAAACCGCTGAATGTGACATCATTTCACATGATTGGTGAGAAAAGCGCTTGTTGAGTTCATTCAGCATTTTATCTAAAAATGGAAAGTAGAGCTCTCGTCTGAAGCATTCCAAATCCAATTCACCATCTGGTCGATTGCATGGAACACTTGATGTTTCAAGAATTGTTTGCCCATCTGTGACACGAGCTGGGAGTGTACGCCGACGTTTTGATTGCTGCTTATTTCGTATCGGTGAAGCTTGTATCCAGAATTTGGCTGCCACACTTTTCAGCAAAAGAAGTGGCTTTGGCGAGGAAGGTGTCGAACTCCTTGTCAGAACGAAATGATTACATCATGGCTCTCAAAACCCGAATGGCAGCCACTCCAGAAGTGAGATCCATTTCTTCGTTTTGGAGATACTCTGAAGCATATTGACTCAACGATGAGGCAAGCTGCTTCAAATCGAAATTGCCTAAGACGAACCAGCAAACCAGTTGCTACATTAATGTGCTGCTCGGAAAGCTCCTTGAACATTGACAACAGGGCAGGGTACACATTCAAAACAACCTCTAAGTTGTCTGAGCGAGCAGACGACCTTGTATCAGAGAAGGAATGCAAAGCGATCTTTCCAAAAGTGATTCCTTTTGCCTTCAAGTGGTTTTTGTAGACTTTGTGTCTTTTAGACAACCCTTCCATGAAGCGATATATGTCTCCAATGGTTTGAAGATTGCTTTGATTGTTTGTACGTCCTTTACGCTATGCTCAAGAACAGGATTAAGTCTGTGGGCAAAACAATGAAAATATATTGAAAATTCGGCACCAGCTTCTGTCAAGTGCTGCTGCACACCTTCGTCCTTGCCAGACATATTTGCAGCACCATCAAAGTCTTTCCCAATAAGATTTTTCAGCGGAAGCTTGAGGTCCTCCAATGTCTCGATTTTCACTTCAGCTAAAGATTTCCCTTTCAGGCTGGACACCTGCACAAGCCTGATACACCGTTCAGTTATTTTAAAATCTGTGACATACCGAAGTATAATAGACCCCTTTCACATTGCATCGACTTAAAATCCAAAACGAGGCTAGAGTTGTTTCAGTGCCGAACATCAGAGATCAACCTCTCTGCATCTTTGAGATATATTATCGCCGTTTTGTAAAATATTTCCATCGATTTTCGTATTAAAGATATGGATCAATTTATTTCATTGTCACCTGAGGGGAAGGCAGTTTCCTGCATTGAAGATTTCTCGATAGTAACTGTCAAAGAGCTCAAGAAAGTTTTGTTGGCCTACAAAGAGAAGGTCTCAGGTGCCAAGGCTGATCTAATTCTCCGTGCCTATGTGGTTTTTTCGCGATTAGAGCAGCAAGAAATCAGTGCTGTAAGTACATCCGAACCTGTGTTGGTTGGAGAAGAAGCTGAGTGTACGTACAACGCCATCTTCTCCTCAAAATGCAGCCATTTGCCGTGGTCCTCAGACCTCAGGGGGACTCCGAACTTTCCTTTTATTCAGCTATATAGCTATCTGGTAGTAAGAACAATGAAATTTAAGCATTTAAGCAAGCTGAAAAGTACTGCCTACAAGAAGTTGAAAGCTTTCCAGATTTTTTTGAAGGCTACATCAAGCATTTTTTAGTGGCAAGGGATAATAATTACACTTTTTTTGATGTCCGCATGAAAGCTTCTATGAAGAATACATTGTACAAAGTCCTTGTCATCCTTTCAAATACTTCTGGAGATGTTCGCTGTGCAGCTTGTACTTGCCCTGCTGGTGCAGGCCTGGGTGGTTTTGGTAACTGCAATCATGTCGGAGGTGTTCTTTTTGCCTTAGAGGATTTCAATAGAAAAGGTTATCAAGACTGCCCAGAGCCTGTATCATGCACTTCCAGATTATCTGCCTGGAATGTTCCAACCTCTTTTGTTGCAGTCTCTCCTGTCTCAATTGATGAAACAGTTATAAAAAGAATAAGATTTGGCAAAGATAATGACAAGTCTAATCAGCCAAAGTATCTTTGCTATGATCCTAGAAGACCTACAGACCATCAAGTCAATGAGAAAAGCCTTCAAGAGTTACAATCAAAGCTTGCATCCTGCTTATCAAATAGCTGTTTCTTTGCATTTCATTCTCTTGAAAAATCACATTCACCAAACGAGCAATCACTGAAACTGTTCCTTCTCTAAACTCACCATTTGCTAATTCTTCTGTTTTGCTAACTGATTTCCAAGACCCTCAACCTTTTACCCTCAACCATATGATATTTCTTGCAATAATTTCAAAGAGATGATTGGATTACTATTGTCTCTCAAATCGCTACATTAGTAGTGATGAAGTCCAGAGAAATGAACATATTACTCGCGGTCAAGCAGCGAATGAACACTGGCAGTCTCATAGATTATACCGCATTACAGCCTCAAACTTTTATTCTGCTATTGTGAACTCAGTGGAGCCATCCTCAAAGCTGAAATTCATGTACTATTCGTCTTTTTCTTCTGCCAGTACTGACCATGGCAAACTTTATGAGTCACACGTGCGTTCATTATACAGAGCGAAGATGATTCAAGACGGCTATGATGCATTGATCATCGATGAGCCTGGCTTAACTGTGTGCAAATCTTTTCCTTACCTTGCTGCTTCTTTGGATGGAATTGTGAAATTTAAAGAAAATTCTTGGGGTATTGAGATCAAATGTCCCTTCTCTAAATACAATTCAACACTTGCTGAAGCTTTGGATGACAATAAATTTTTTTTAACAAAGAAGAAAGATATTCAGTTGAAGAGAAGCCATCCTTATTATTATCAAATTCAAGCCCAAATGTTCTGTTCAGGATTGAAGAAAACGGACCTTGTTGTTTGGTTTGGAGATCAAGAGCCCTTATTTGCTCATTCAATTGTTTATGATGAACAGTTTATAAATTCCTGCCTACCAGCATTGAAATTCTTTTATTGTAGAGCTGTCTTGCCTGAGTACTTTACAAGGCGTGTTAAGCGAGGCTTAAAATTATACTTGCATGGTGGTTGGGAAAATTCCCTAAAGTGTTCAAAGAGAAAAAAGGCAGTTAAAAAACAAATGTGAATCATATTGACATTCCATCTCTTAATTAAGATATTAAGTACAATGAACATCTCACTAAAAGTTATCTCACTGAAAAAGGCTCGAAAGGCTTCTCGTTGTAATATAAAGATTTAAAGATCCAAGATGAAATCAGCTTGAATGCACAGTTTAGAAAGGATGGCAAGGACTAATCTGCTATGAACTACAATAATGGCAATAAGAACATTAATTTTGCAACAAAGAACTGGACTAAGAAGGCTTCTTGTTGAAATATAAAGACTTAAAGGTCCAAGATGAAATCAGCTTGAATGCACAGCATTGAAAGGATGGCAAGGACTAATCTGCTATGAACTACAATAATGGCAAAAGGACAACAATAGATGTGACAAATTGTAGTTAATGCCTAAAAAGGGGGATTGCATTCAATGTCATTTACCCAATGTCGATAATGTATAATACCTATTTTTATCATGTCTTTGTATGACCTATTCAGTACTTGTAAATAATAGATACTATTTTATTGATTACTGAAGAATACAAATTTGATTCAGTTATCATTCTTTTGAGGGTTAACTAAAAATGGCAAAAAGTTTGTTAAAAGGCAGCAGACTGTGAAAATTTGGTTTGCGACAGGAGCAAGACTTAGTGGCAATACACCATCTAAAATGTGATAGTTCTTGACCCTCCCAATAGCTCTCTCTACATGAATTCTCACAGCCACAATCTTGGCTGTTTCTTCTGATTCTGCAGGTGGTAACTGGTCACGTGAGCCTTTGAAAGGAGGAATATTTAGTGTGACACCAGGTGGTAATATATTGGCGATATCAAAACCTCTGTCTGCCATTACATTGTCACCTGGTTCCAAAAGAGAAAGAAGACCAGAGGAAGATGTTAATTCTTTGTCAGAAACACGACCAAACCAGAGCTTTGATATAAAGGTAATTGCACCATTGGGAGATATACCAATAAGAGCTTTCCATATATTATGATGTTTGTATTATGACCATGTTTGAGACTGTGATCTTAAGGAGGAGGGGACTTCAATGTGTATTTCTGTACAGTCAAGGATAATTCTTGTTGAAGGATAATTTTTAAATTCAGCTGGCAGCATACTCGCAACTAGATCCTTTGACGGATAGGGAAACAAAAGTGGTAATTCATGGAAGAGAAAGTTAATCCAGGTTGTATAAATTTTTGAGGCATGAAATACAGAGATACCAAATCTGTCAGCAAGATCACTGAGAAACAATCCAACTTTCAAACGCATCAGGACAAAGAGAAATTCATCTAACTGTGACAACCTTCTTTTTGGTCCTCGTTTTTTTGAAGTCAGATTCTGTTCTTGCTCTTGGTCTGTGGAGGTATTGGTGGACTTTGTTCCTCGCCAATAAGACATGTTTTCAAGCTTTGGCTTTAAATATTCAAAAACGGCTCGAAATGAGAAATATGAAGGAAAACCAGTGTAAAACGTAACTGCTGAATCATCATCTTGCAATTTTTCAACAGAAAAAAGGCTTTCTTTGCAGAAGATAGTTGATCATTTAAATCAGCAACTTTTTGACAGAGTTCCTCAACTTTCTCTTTGAGATTGACGAATTCAACCAACTCTACATCATACTGGTTGCCTTGGGAATATCTGTGCTCGACTGTTGGGAAACTGCCAGGGACAGGATTTTCAAGGAAAATAGACGTCAATAAACGAAAGATTTGTTTGCGTCGAAACAGTGTTCTCCATTGAATCCAAGACATCCCTTACAGATTCAAAAACAAAGTTTTCGTAGAAGAGGCCAAGCGGTTTCCTTCATGCAATTTAAGTGAAGGCAAGGTGCCACTTCGTAACTTCCAGCGTTGAGGATTCTTCTTTATGTCTCAATCCGTAAAGTGTTCATGGCACAGATAAGTCGATGCAGTAACTCTGAACCCATCCAGGCCATCAACTCGCTTGATCAAATTACACCACTGACTTTTTTGAGGAAACTTGAAGAAGCGTAGGCCAGTCGGGGATCCGTCGGTAGAATAAAAGAAATTGTAGCAACCAAACGCTGCACACTGCTTTCCTTAAGAAGCTCTTTTCTTTACTTGCTGGCTTGACTCATTCGTACTTGTAGACTGATCCATTTTTAACAAATCAAACCGCAATAAACAACTAATAAATCTCAAGATAAGAATGTTTGGAGTACTTTCACTAGGTGAGTTCGGGTCTAAACAACTTTAGCCTCGTTTTGGTATATAGGTCAATTCAATGTGAAAGTGGTCTATTGATATGAAAGCTCTTTTGTGAGAAGTTACTTCGTCACACTCGATAGAAAAGTGGTTAGCTATACGCACTTTGTTGCAGATAATCTCAGTGATTAGGTTGCTGAGAATACTGATCATCTCATTCTGGCTCATGTGGGAGAAATATGTAACGTTCTGAGGATGAGTATCCATCCATTTCCTCAGGGGTGTGTGGTACTTTGAGACAAACTCGAGTTCTTCCAAAAAATTTCCTTTATTTTTGGAATCTTTCGATTCCAAATGCCATGGCCACGAAAAGCGGTGTTCTGTTTGGCCAAATGTCGAACAATATCAAAGATTGTCTCAACAATATGTTGATTCTCGATCCTTTCTTGCCTTCATTTCATGGGCAGCATCATTAAGGTGGACGTCAATAGGATGAGCTGACATGAAATTGTGTCTACGCTCTACAGAGAGCATATGAAACCTTGAATTCCCATGTTTTGCTAGTTTCCCCTTCTCTCCTGTAGCATTTTTCCAATTACCAAATCAAGATTTTGTGAAGGCATCATCTGAGCTCCCAAATAAACATTTTTTTCTAGAATAGTTACTAGAGCTCTTGCTGCAATTTTTAAAATAAAATGGAAAAACATTCATCAATTGAGGAAACAACAGCTTAAAAACTTGTTCTAGGATAGCAAAGATGCTTTGATTAAGCTGTGCTCTCATTTAAAATCTTTCATCAATATACTAAGCACTGGGATAAATTTATTAAATAAATGCTAAATATTCAATTTCACGGCAGAGTATGAAAGCATCACAATTGATGCCTTGGTGAGGGCTTACAAAACCTTAAGGCAAATTATGAGTATTTAGTAAACTTACATTCCCTCGGCAAATTCTTAGTTTCTCTATGAGAATTACAAGAAGAATCTGAGAAACGAGTGACTAAAGAAGAACAACATGATTGAAATAATTTCTCTTACCAAGAGAGCCAAAGCATCTGCAAACGAAGCAAATTGCAGCGTCTTTATGAGAATATTTAAGCCAATTGAATTCTTCGTACCACTTTTTTTGAAACTTAAATTTTCTCCCTGCTTGTTCCGACTGTAGAAAATCTATTAAAGGTCTTATCGGACCGGTTTCAACGATAAAGGCTCTGTTCGCTTCATTCACGATTTCACAGGATGGATCTCTTCCTTCAAACATTGTAAACTCAAAGATTTTAGAACACTTTGCTCGGCTAGTTGTTGGTCATTTGCTGGCAAACTAGCAGGAGTTGTGGTATGAGCGGACACAAAACGTCATGAATCATTGAACGTTACATTACAGGATAGACAGGATGTAATATAGCAAATCGACACTTTTAAAAAAATGCCATTAGAATACCAGCCGGTATTACTTCTAGACATAGTTTGTGATTGAGATCCATTATAAATTATGGCGGAAGCATCTGTTTGTCTTTTACAGGAATCAGCAATCAGCAATTCAGTTACAAAACCAAAGATCTATCGACATATCATTCTGTTTCAGTATAAGGGCATTCAACAAAAGATAGCTTAAAAGAAATATCGGTGTTTTTTGACAATTTCTTCACCAAGTAACTTTCCATAACCTAAAGTGGCAGTTTCTACAGAATAAAGTTTTGGGGAAAATGAAAGTACTTCACAAAGATCCCCCCTAATTTTATCCATCGATTTAGACGAATTTCAAAATGGATCTTGGCGAGAACTGAAGGGGACGTTTCCCCCCAGCCCCCCCCCCCTGTGGCGCCGCTACTGCCTGCATATAGGCCTGACAGTGCCATCAACAAATCCATAGCAGTTGCCCAATGCAGCACCTTTGTTGTGTATTGCATCATCAAATGACTGGAGATTCTCTCTTGAGAGCCATGGCTGGTTCAGGTCGTTCAGTAGATTGGAAAACCTGTCGTATATATCATCAACCACCAAGTTGAAGATCATGCATAGTTGCGGAACAGGCTATCTGAATCTTGGGACTAAATTCGCGTACCGGCAGGGATATGTGAAACGCCTGAAAATTACCCAGGTTATACTTTAGGTCATAGCAATACTGTGAATCGTCACAATGTGCCCTTAGTGATATATTTTGCCTAGCGCGAAAAATTACTCCAGCAACAATTGGAAACAGTTTACATCGATGGAGGTCAACAGTCTTCGAAATCATGCTATCACACATGATATTTATAGGCTTTGCCGTTCCTTCCATGCCAGCCTTAAACTCAGTAGCTCTGAGTGTTGATGTCTGATGAACTGGTGATTTCAACTGATGATCTTTGAAGCGTTTTAGAGCTGTTCCCCATTGGTTGAATGGCAGTTTAAAAAATGTTAACTTAGGTCAGGACCGTTTTAAAGCCAGGCTTGTCGCACAAAGAATGGACTATGGTGAAGTTTTTTCACC